GATAGATTTTCATATACGCACAATCAAATGATAAAAGCCGCGGAACAAGAATTCGGTGAAGGATCACTTTAATGAACTGGGAAAACAGTATTTCATAGACGCGTTACCCTTTGATATTGCCAGACGAATTTATTCCGCGCCTCCCTTAACGTTAGACGAAACGTATGACTTAGCTTTGAAAACAGACGTGGAAAAACGTGGCTCGTACCGACGCCAGGATGAATATAGCAGACATAACGTATCCCCGCGTACCCCATCTCCGTACGATAGTAGACGCAACTGGACAGAATGGCGCGATCCAGTTGAACAAGACGATGATGACTATGAATACCCGCGTACTTCTTATTACACCGGCTCACGATCCCGAAGAAATAGAAGCCGGGATAGACCAAGCCGATTTTATGGTCGAGAATATGAAGATAGAAATCGCGATTCGCGCTACGAGGGACGGCCCCGAAGATTTAGCTCCCCGCGAAGAGATGACTATCACCGGCGAGACCGACAGGACCATTCAAGACAATATAGGGATAGATATCGCCGAAACGAGCCGCCACCATATGAACAGAGACGAGGAAATTTTGGTCAAGGATCAATGCGCTTCCGTGGAAATTCCAGCGATAGAGAGTCTTTAAACTCCTTTCGCGCTCGCCCGCAAACCGGGAACGAGGCGAGTGTCTACACACCCGGACAGAATTACCGCTCCCCCGCACCTACGAGGAGCCCGTCACCTGCCTCCAACAGGCGCCCTCGCCGAGGATAAGGATTAACGCTAAACAATTGATAAACGGGCAAGGAGAATTTATAATAGATACCGGTTCAGTCCTGAACCTTATAGAAATGCGTGCCCTTAGTCCGGAAGCACCTGTTCTTGCAATCCGTCCAATTACGATCGAAAGCCTCGAAGGGAAAATTATCACGAACAAGGCAACGTATATAATGGTAAATGATAGCGAAACATTCTTTCACATTATTGGCACCGGAAGCTTGCCGGAGGGAGTTTCTGGTCTAATAGGCAGCCCGTTCTTAGTACAAGAAAAGGGCGAATTATCTTTCCACCATAAAACGTTGATTACGCAAAGGAACCCCGTAGATCCAATTCGATTCTCGAACGCGGATATGATCCGCAACTCAGCAAATTCACAAGGCCTAGTTTATAATGCTCGGATTCTTAACACACATAACGAAATTTCTTTACATAATGAAACTGAATACGATGACGAGTGTAACGTAACCGAAAACGAGGACTTGCAATTAAGCGAACTAGATATTCCCGAGAGACCGCATACTCCACTAACAGAAGAACAACTGCTAGGATTAGAAGAAGAAGACGTATGCGACTTGGAAATTGAAAACCGAGATCCAGAAGAAAGATTGACTCTTATTATGAATGCACTGAAATTAAAACATCTGGACGAACCATCGAAAGATCTGGTAAAGGAAATCGTAGGAATGTATGCAGACCGATTCTTCATCCCCGGAGATCCCTT